TTCCAGCAGGTAATGTTGTATTTAGGATTGCGTTCCCTTTGACCACTCGTCTGTCTGATCGTCTCCTGCTTCGTCACAACGTTTCATCTGTGTCATAATGCCTCCAGCCCCCCCCCACTTCCACAAGTAAAATGAACGCTATCGTACTTCACACCAGTTGGTCATTCTGTAATTGGGTTGCCACTCAGTATTCACCATTGACACACCGTTTGAAAGGGGCCATCCATAATCCAACTGATTGCATGCTGTTGCTGTTTTTTGACTATGTAGCAACAATTTCTGCTCACGGCGGTTTGCGAAAATTTACTTAAATAAAGTTCATCACTGTGATTTTAGATTTACTCGTTTTGCTTCTAAGGCGAATGCCCGTCGTTGCAGGGAAAATGATATCAGTTGGTGACACTTGTTGCCAGTGATCGGTATTCAAGCGGTTTATCATTGTCACGGTGCGAAATGTGCGACGTATGACAAGCAAAACTGCTTGATTGATGTTGACTCTTTTGTTTATGCATTGGTAATCGTGCTACTAGATGCTTGATCAAAATACACCCAAGAGGGTTTGAGAAAGCGCTGGGTTGTGTCATGCGGAGGTACCGACTTTGAATCATGAGAAAGGGAAACAGTTTATCTTAATCATTAGTTCCTTTGAGCAAGGAATTCAGTTTGTTGCCAGTAGAGAAATAGATGGCAGACCGCTGACATGCGAACAACAGGGATGACATGCTGTTCTGTGCGATCATCCCAGAATAGGTGACATGTTCAGCTGCGTCATTCGCGATGTGAGCACCTCTTAAGGATGTAATTTGCATTGACCTATCGGATTGCTTAATATTCAATCCGTGAAAATCCCTGCAACGTCTAGACTCAAAGAATTAATTGCCGACTGACTACAGATCGTTTTGAAAATGATACGAATCCCGGAACACCTCGTAGAGATACATTAGTGGCAACGACCATTTTCAGATTTTAATAAATGGCTGCTCCGCTAGTCGTCCACAGCATGCCGAGGAAAAATTTGCGTGAAACTTAGGCACCTGTCTCTCGTAGTTCTGACACTATGGAAAGTTTTACCGGCTCAGTTGTCGGGCAGGATACAAGGGGTCGCGCAGACTGATGAGGATCTGATCAAGCTTGCGAAAAGCCGCTGATCAAAATCTGAATCTGTTCGATGACTTCTTAAAGATGGCGGTGTAGCAGCACGACTGCGGCTGCCTAAAATTCTAGCGACGACGAAGATACCATTTGGAAGTAGATTCCGTACGCATCTGAATGGAGAGACAGAAAGTGCGATGCCATTATGGCACTGAGAAAAGGCTCTACGGGGACGACTCCGTCGGTGGGAGCTTGCAATCAGAAATTGGAATATATCTTTACTCAGAAGGTAAGAGTAGGAGCTGTAATAGGGCTGTACGGTATCACTTCGACATAGCTGGACTCTCGTTAAAGAAGCGTCATCGCTCTGGAATTCTGAACTTCTGCGGGTGGAAGCTATTCTACTCAGGTGTTGACATCTCGATGCGTGCTCACGCAGGTGTTAGTGTTCTGGTGAACCAAGTCAGGCTGATAGAATCGCAGAATGGAAGCCTGTTAGGGGATGGATTGGCAGTCTTCATGCAGAAGTTACTTTACGCTGAAGCAGTGACCTCGTTAGAGGTATATACTACCAGTTCTTAGGTGATTCCTTCTGGAAGGAAG